TTTGTTACTGAACTGTTTTTGACACTGGACTTTGACAATTGGATTATCCCTGGATTGAAAACTGACTGATTTTACCTGTGAATGATTTTTGGATTGCTTATTTTGGGCTTTGCTTAAACCTTTCTGGAAGTAAAAACCTACATTTACTATACAGTGTATCTGTGTGCTCTGTGTGTATTATTCCAACACTACTCTCTATACGTCTCCCTGTATGCGCTCATTCTCCTAACGGGGGAATTACCTCAACAGGAAGTCACAATGATTTTGTTTTTCCGGTGCCCTGCCCTCATTGGAAGATTTCTCCACACAGTGCACTGCCATCCTTCCACATTCTGGGCTAGATACACTTCCTAACAGTGGTGGGATTCAGTTTTTTTTAATACTACCTGTTCTGTGGGCGTGGCTTGGTGGGCGCAGCAGGGGAAGGACACTGCAAAATCCCCACTCCCTCCCCACCCCATTAACCTGCTTTCCAGCTCCGTTCTCCTGTGCAGGGCAACAAAAGAAGACCCAGCCAATCAGCTGGGACTCGGGAGGCAGACAATAGATGGGGGCAGGGCCAGTCAGAGGTAGGATTTGCAGGTTCTCCAAACTACTCAAAATTTTTGCTACCGGTTCTCCAGAACTGGTCAGAACCTGCTAATTCCACCTCTGCTTCCTTACCTTCTGTCCCACAGAAAGGTTAGGGAGGGGAGCCAGCATGCTGGGCTGGAGAAAGAAGCTTGGATCATTGAGATCTGAGCTTCCTTTCTCCTGCTCAGCCTGCCTGTTCTGTGCCCAGAGAGGAACAGCCTGCCCTTTTTCAGCAAGCAGCTCTTTCACTTTATGAGCTGCAGTGGTGCAGTACTTCTGCTGCCTACCGGCTGCCGGCAGTTCGATTCTCACCGGCTCAAGGTTGACTCAGCCTTCCATCCTTCTGAGGTGGGTAAAAGGATGACCCGGATTGTTGGGGGCAATAGGCTGACTCTGTAAAACCGCTCAGAGAGGTCTGTGAAGCATGGTGAAGCGGTATATAAGTTTAAGTGCTATTACTAGTCACTCAGCATCTGCGCCTGAGAAGGCCAGGACGTTGAGCGAGGTGACCATGGGGCTTAATAACTGCAATGACTTAATATTGTATTTGGTATGACTTCATTACAGTCATAAGTTGGGAACGATCACAAAATCTGAAATAAGGTAGTCCTCAACTTATGACAATTGGGACTGGAATTTTGGTCACTATGTGATGCAGTCATAAAACAAGGCATTAAGACTACCTTGCTTAGTGACCACAATGCCAACACTCAATCCCATTTATTAAACGAGGCTCATGGGTTAAGCAGAGGGATTCCCAGATAGGCATGCAGGGGTACCGGTGGGGCGGTGAGGACCGGACAGTGTAGGCTGCACACAATTTGAAGGGAGGGCTGCTGTAGTACTTCACAAAGCCTCAGCCATCTCTGGAAGTCTCAGCTATCCCAGCTTGGCCCAGCACCACAACACAAAGCTATTGCACCCAGGAAACCTCAGCCCCCCTGCCCCCCCCATCCAATGGTGGTATTCAATTTCTTTTACTACCGGTTCTGTGGGCGTGGCTTAGTAGGCGTGTCATGGCTTGGTGGGCATGGCAGGGGAAGAATACTATAAAATCCCCATTCCCTCCCCACCCCACTAACCTGCTTTCCAGCTCCGTTCTCCTGTACAGGGCAACCAAAGAAGACCCAGCCAATCAGCTGGGACTCAGGAGGCAGAGAATAGATGGAGGCGGGGCCAGTCAGAGGTGGTATTTGCCGGTTCTCCAAACTACTCAAAATTTCCGCTACCGGTTCTCCAGAACCTGTCAAAACTGGCTGAATACCACCTCTGCCCCCATCTGACCAAAAAGCATTGAGGATTCCTGGGCAGTTCCCTCCATTGTCTTATCTCTTCCCCTACTCCAACTAACCCCTTTGGGTTGCCCTACACAGCGGCACTCCTCAGTCGCAGTGCTGGCCCTGGGGCTGAAACAGAGGTTTCCAACAGCACTGCCCCCACATCTTTACTTCAACCCCAGAGCCACTGCCGCCACCGAGGGCTCCCATGCAGGGTAGTCAAAAGGACATAGCTTGTGGGGAGATAGATGGGTGACGAGAGTTGCAACGGCCTTGCAATCATAAGTGTGGGCAGGCTGCCAAACCCCCCAAATTTTGATCATGTGTCTTTGTGGGCCCCGCCTCAACCATCATTTCAGGCACAGATCCCAAGTCCATTTTATTCCACAGCATCGTAATTTCAGTTGTGAATGATTGGCTATAAATGGAAGACTACCTGTATAACAAAGTCAACATATGAGACATATTAATTGACAATTGTAGACTGTCATACCCGACTTAAAAATAGCACACTCCCTTGGCTTTATTCCCAGCAATTACTAGTCAGAAATACACTGCCAAATAGGATACTATCCAAACTGTACATTACTTTGAATTCAATTCCAAAAAGATGCTTTAAAACAAGGGTGTCAAACTCAATTTCATTGAGGCCTGCATCAGGGTTGTCTTTGACTTCATGGGGGGTAGGGGCAGGGGGGGCATGGCTAGGGGGGACGTAGCCAGCTTGATGTCACTCATCGAGGCTCCATTTTTGGCCACGACAGCCCTCCTGGGCTCAGTTTTCAACCACGATAGCCTCCTCCAGCCCTTTGCCGGCAAAAACAGAGCTCGGGAGGGCCTCCCGGAGGTCCGGTTTTGCTGGCAGAAGGTTGCAGGAGGCCATTATGCCCCAAAATGGAGCCCAGGAAGGCCGTACAAGGCTCTTTCAAGCTCCCTTTTCATTGGCAGAGGCACCACGGGCTGGTCCTTCACTGTTTCCAGGGCAGGCCCATGGGCCAGATCTAAGCACCCCACAAGCCAGATCTGGCCCCCAGGCCTTGAGTTTGACACCCCTGGTTTAGAACATTTGGGGGTACAAATGTAGTACTGGCCTACAATTCTTTAAAACAGGTGTGCTTCACCCCCCCCACCACCCCAGATCGCATGATCATTTAGAAGCCATAACTTTGATAAAACATTCACGACCTAATGGTTCATTTCCTTCAGTAATTTATCATAATCTTTGATAATCTGCAGAATCTAAAAGATATTATTATGACGGTTGGTTGCACAGTCAGTCAGATATTTATTTAGATTGGATTTGGCATTTTAATCCACCTATCGAATCCTCATTACTATTATTATTATACAATAAACTGTTCGTTGCCTGATTCTCAACAATTCTGGGTAGCTCAATCAAATAAGTTACAATAAAATAAATAAAACATTAAAAATAAAAAAATAAAAGTCACACACTGTCACAGCCCAACCTACCTCTAAAATAAATTGAGGGGATAAAGATACATCCATGGCAGTGACAGTGAAAGCACCATATAAAATAAATAACTACATAAGAAGGATCTACAGAACTGGACCAAGGAAACCTTTGCATTAGCCAAATACATTCATTCAAAAAACTCACAAACATGGATAGGAAGGCAATGGCCCATCATAACTTCAAATGGTCACAGTCAAGAACTATCTATATTTAAAATGATTATAATTACTGGTTTGTTAAACCACAGATGAATTAAAGATTGTTTATTCGATATAATATACCACTCTGCACTGGTCTGCAAATCATAACAGATGAATTTACAGTCCTTATAAAGCCAAAATCTAACAACAGCCATAATAGCTTAGTAGGCTTTCTGGATTAAACAACACTTAACCTAATGTACCTGGACTTTTAGTTTACAATCTCCTTTTTTAATTAGTTGGTGCATTAAATTCCCACCTATTCCTACACCCCTGCTGATGTAGACGTCCTGGACCAGTATCTGAAGTTAATAAGGACCCGGTGCAGATCTGAATAAAACAAGCTTAGATCAATACTCACAATGATGGAGTTGTCAGTAGACTTCTGCACATCCCAATTACACTATCCTCAGGACTCAAGAAAGGTCTATATGACATCAACACTCATGCCTTAGCTTAGACCATGGGTGTCCAACCTTGGCAACTTTATGACTTGTGGACTTCAGCTCCCAGAATTCTTCAGCCAGCCAAGTCATAATGTAGTCAGATTGCCTTTGACTTGGTATATTGTACAACAGTGGTGGGATTCTATTTTTTTGCTACCGGTTCTGTGGGCGTGGCATGGCTTGGTGGGCATGACTTGGGCATGGCAGGGGAAGGTTGCTGTATTTGCCAGTTCTCTGAAGTACTCAAAATTTCCACTACCGGTTCTCCAAAACTGGTTAGAACCTGCTGAATACCACCTCTATTGTACAACCTGGGTTTGCAATCAGCCATGGTTTAAAATTTAGTATGGTGTGACTCATGAGACCGCAGTCATATGCACGCTAAGATATATATGCATACCTGAAGTTGTTACACTGATATGAACTATCTAGGTTTTTGAAAACCCAATCAGAACCCTCTTCACTGTTGGAGACTTGACTGGATTGTGATGGACCAGAACATCTGGTCTAGAGATTCCATTCCCTCCTCCATTGCTATAAAACCAGTCTGATGGTAGAGTCTGGTGTAAGCATGATGCACTTACTTACAGGCTCAATTCTTGGCACTTCTAGGAAAATGGACAGGATGTCTCTCCTTTTTAGGAATAGACTTGAGAATGTCTCCTGAAAAACCATGAAGTCTTGTTGTAGTCAATACTGGGCCATCTAGCTCAGTGTTTCTCAAACTTTAACATGTGTGATCTTCAACTCCCACACTTCCCCAGCCAGCTTCCAAGTTTGAAAAACACTGATTTTAGCTTAATATACAGAAGTAGTCCCCGATTTGCAACAGTTCATTTAGTGACCATAAATATAACGACAGTGATTCATTCAACAACGGTGGCAAGGAAGGTCATTAAATGGGGCAAAATTCACTTAGCAACAGAAAATTTGGCCTCAAGTGTGCTTGTAAGTCAAGGACTACCTGTAGTAGCATCGTAAATCCTGGGGTGGAAGGTGGGTGAGGAAGCAACAGCGGTTAACTTACCAAGAGAATCTGCTTGATTTTCAACGGTTTCATTCACCTTCTTAGCTACTCTGGCAACAGCTTCACCCATTTTTTTCTCCATGCAGGTATGTCCAACCATGAAAATCCTCTAGGGAAACTTCTACAGCTAAGCAAAACAAAACAAAAAAACAAAAACTCAAAACAGGCTCCACAGTGCGAATATCTCACAAAGGGTTAGAAAACAGCTTTTCTGAAAGAAAGAAAAAAAATTATGTCAATGTGTGCCTAAAATTTACTGAGGTCTGCTAATGTTTAACAGATTAACATACCTGAAGAAGCAACAGGTTGTTCCAGTTATGAGCTGGACAAAGAAACAAATTCAATAAACAGGTATATCTTGAAATACAGCTCCCCATCAGGAACATGAAGGTTCAAAAGAAAGTAAATTTGGAAAAAGCTTATATACTAGAGCAGTGGTAGCTAACCTTTTTGGGCTCCTGTGCCAAAAATGCGTGCCAGCACCCAGAATGCAATGCGCGCCCCACGCCCCCTGCGCATGGTCCCAACCCCCCCCCTTACCTGCAATGTGCCTCACAGATGATTTTGGGGCTGGTTTGAGGCCTTTTTCGGCCTCCCAGAGACTTGGAAAAAGCCTCTGCAAGGCTTTCCAGGATGAATTATAGGCCCATTTCATCACTTCCGTTATTACAGGAACGGACAAAACAGGCCTATAATTCGGCCTGAAAAGCCTTGCAGAGGCTTTTTCCAAGCCTCTGGGAGGCCAAAAAAGGCCTCAAACCAGCCAAAAAAACCAGCTGTGAGGCGTGTGCATGTGCAGTGATGTAAGTTTGCCTGTGGCTCGCGTGTCAGCACAAATGGCTCTGCGTGTCCCTTGTGGCACGCGTGTCATAGGTTCGCCATCACAATACTAGATAATCTGTTTATAGAGGTTACAATTGTTTATCAGGAATATGCATTCTTTTTTTTGTTTTGCTGGCTGGGGAATTCTGGGAGTTGAAGTCCACAGGTCTTAAAGTTGCCAAGGTTGGAGACCCCTGCTCTGCTGCATCTTTTCCAGGTCTCTGTTAAATGAAGCATGCTAAAATGAAGTGGTATATAAGTCTAACTGCGACTGCTAAATCATTGGCGGCCTCCAAATTAATACAATAAAATAATTACAAGTAATCTGTACAGGTAGTCCTTGATTTACAAGTTTGCTTGGAATTTATAACGGTACTGAAAAATGTGACATATGACAATTTTTCACACATCCATCAGAGCATCTCCACAGTCAGGATCAAAATTCAGACATTTGTCAACCGACTCATATTTATGACGGTTGCAATGTCCTCTGTGTGTGTGTATGTGGTGTGTGTGTGTGTGTGTGTGGCGATCATCTTTTCCGACTTCTGACAAGCAAAGTCAATGGGGGAAGCCGGATTCACTTAACAACCATGGTACTAGCTTTACAACTGCAGTGATTCGCTTAAAAAAGCTGGCCAGAAAAGTCGTAAAAATGGGTCAAAAACTCACTAAACAACTGTCTTGCTTAGCAACAGAAATTTTGGTCATAAGTTGAGGACTACCTGTATGGTTTCCCCCCCCCCCCCATATTATCATAATCATTTAAAATATATCTCAAGAGGTGGTACAATACACTTTGCTACTTTCTCTCATACATACATTGCATTCAGAAAGGATTCAGATCCTCCTTCGCTTTTGTTAATTTTGTCGAACTGCAGGTTGATTCTACAGTGGTTTAAATTTACTTTTTTTCCTCATTAATCTGCACCCTGTATCCCACAAAATGACAAAATAAAAACAGAATTTTAAAAATGTCTGTAAATTTATTAAAATGTAATAAATTTTAATTTAAAATTCTATTTTCACTTTGTCATTATGGGGTACTGAGTATAGATTCACGAAGAAAAACTGAATTTCAACCACTGTGGAATCAGGCTGCAGCAAAATAAAATTGAGAAAAATGAAGGGGGGGTGTGTCTAAATACTTTCTGAATGCTCTATATGTACACGCACAAATTGGTCTGTTGGTACAGTGTTGGTTGTTTCAGATTCAGACCCACAACCATGTTGTAGCTGATGACCTGGGTAAGTGCTTATGCTGCTAATTTTGTGGGCGGGGGGGGGGTACCAGGGAGTGGGATTCTACCGGTTTGGACCGGTTCGGGTGAACCGATAGTTCCAGTGATCATTTAGCCCCCCCCTCCCTCCCCCTTCCGCCCCCTCTCTCTCTCTCACACACACACAGATATGATAGATTTTATGGCCAGGTTAAATAAACAATTTCCCTTAGCTACAACAGTATCCACCAGAATCCTTCTAATCTTCTGATCTTCTATCTAATTCTAAACTATGTAGTTTTTTTCTAAGGTTGCCATCTATATTTTCAACATTTATACAAAGGTGAGTCTAACTTCATATGTGTGTGTGTGAAAGGACTGAGCATGCCATAGAACATACCAGAACAATTTTAACACTTAAAATGAACATGTTGCTGAAAGGGAATAATAATAAGTAGGTTTTCTGGAAAAAGAATCACCATTCAAAGCTACTGTTCTAGCATTTTCTTTGAAAATACTGTATCTGCAAGGAGCAATCCTACAGACATTATACATGTCATTTTTCAACCCTGTTTGACAAAGTTCATCCCCAAGGATGCCTATGAAAATGTACTGCCCGAGGGATTTTGACCGAGGGATTCTGTCATGCTCTGCAAAACGTATGAAAAAACTCAAACCAGTCAATGAGAGTAAATGCACCCAGTGTGTTCAGAAATCCCATAAAGATCTGTATTTTGGACCAGTATTGTTTAATTAGTTTTAATAGCCAGGAATTAGAGGTGACAAAAGTGGACCAGATTAATTCATGGATATAGGTACAAATAATGTGTTCTGTTATGCCCAGAACACTTGATGACACAAATCGGTTAAAGTTTTTTTGTTATATATTTACTGCCTCCTAGTGGTTGGAAAGAGCAAGTGTACATTTAGGTTTGGAAAAAAGCAACTAGTCCCAACAGTTGTTTTATCTTCTGAAATTGAATCAACCTTCTTCAAGGAGGCATAACACTCATTCACAATTGTGTGTTCCCCAAATATTTAGAATGCCTTCAGTCAGTGTTTTCCTAGCCTTCCTAACTTGAAGACATGTCAATTTCAACTCCCAGCATCCCCCAACTGGCTTGGGAATTCTGGGAGTTGAAGTCCACACATTTTGAAGTTGTGAAGGTTGGAAAACACTGCCAAAAATAAATAGCATCCAGCTTCACAAGTCTTAAAGTTGCCAGGTTTTGCAGAGCTCTGTTTTATAGCACCACTGTATTATACAATTCAGGCCAAATGCGAATTTGTAGTTCAACCATTTTTTTTATTTTTAGAATCCTGCATAAATCCAGTAGAATACTAGACGTCTCAGCACCCCCTGTGTGTTGCACGGTGCACTGAAAAGAAACTTAGCCTAATCCACCCTCTTCGCCTACAGTTAAAAAAAAGAGTCCCACCTTTTGCAATTCGTTGTGAGGTCCCGTGTTTGGAGAGAGGAAGAAAATGGATTGAGCAAAACCGCAAGCTAACCGCAATAAAACAGAACATCCTCGCTCGGCGCGGCCGGCCAGCCAGCCATCCGCAGGGAAAACCAGACGGAGCTCCGCACCACACAGAGACCACAACCACTCTGTTGTGTACGTGCTGGAACTCACAAGAAGCTTCACACCACTACCGGAAGTTCGAGCCGTGCGTCACCCTCTCTTGCCTTATGTCCGGGAAGGCAGATCCATTGTGCGCTCCCAGTAGGCTTTTATCCTGTTGCAGCGAGCGGGGAGAGGGGCAAGCCTCCATCCACTGCGCGCTCCCCCCCCCGCCCCGTTTCTCCGATCCCCGTCCCCAGACAAGGCTCTCAAAGGCTGCGGGAGTCTTTGCTCTCTCCCCACCGGCCCGGTTGCTTTTTTTCACGCTTACCGCAAAGGCACAGCGGGGTTGCCTTCCGTCCTGGGCGGCTGCTGGAGCGTGGCGCACCGGCGAACCCCGCGCTCTTGGCTCGCTTCCCCCAGCCATGGAGAAGGACGGGAGCAGCTGGGCGTCCGCTTTAAATTCACCGAGAGGGCGGCGGGGGTGGGGAATTGGGGAAAAAAGCTTCTCCCGTCGAGCCGCACGGAGAACAGCCCCCGAAGAAGCCCGGGGAACCAATCATCGAACGGTTTCGGCCGGGGAAAGCGAAGCGAAGCGAAGCCAGGCAGAACGAGCGCCCTCTCTCGTGGGCGACCGCGGAGATTCCTGCGCGGTTCCGCGGGGGACGTGGGATTTAAAAGACCAAGCCCGTCCTCGGCCTCCAAAGCGGGGAGTCGCTTTATTGCCCTTCTGCCTTGAAAGGTCATCAGCGACCTGTTTGGCATTCAGATGGGAGACCACGAGGGGACCATGGTCGATGGTGGTGGGGGAAGCATCTTTCAAGAGAAAGGAACGGCCACCCCTTTTTTTAATCTCTTGCCAAGGCAATAAGGATGCCCTTGAGAAGTGACCAAAGGGGCTGAGCTCCTTTGCCTTTTTCAGTATAGTTACAACAACAAAACTTCCTGCAAGTAAATTCATTATTTTAGGCACTGAGGTGGTCGGTTTCACTTCCGGGACATGATTAAATAGAAAAAAAAGATGCAGTCAAACAGTCTCCATGTCTTTACTTCCCCTTTCCAGAGGGCAGCTGATAGTCTATAAATATAGAGCATGCTTAGTTAACAGAATAACAAAGAGTTGGAAGTCTTCTAATCCAACTCACTACTCAGACAGGAAATCCTATACTATTCCATACAAATGGTTGCCCAACCTCTTCTTTAAAATCTCCAGTGACGGAGCATTCACAAATTCTGAAGGAAAGCCCTTCCAATTGTTCTTAGTATCATGAAATTTTTCCTTAGTTTTAGGTTGGTTCTCTCCTTGATTAGTTTCCATCCATTGCTTCTTGTCCTGCCTTTGGGTGCTCTGAAGAATAGGTTGACCCGTCTTCCCTGTGGCAGCCCCTCAAATATTGGAATATTCCTATCCTGTTACTCCAAGCCCTTCTTTCCTTGGGAGGGAAGGGGTTTGTTTTCCCCTCCAAAACCCAGCAGAGTTCCTGAAGAATGCAGTTTTCATTCCCTCCTAGTTAATAGCTCCATTTCCGGGTTAACTATTAGCTGTTGCAGTGATGAATTTGGCAAGCTGGTGCAAATGCATCACCATTTTTTCCCTCACTTATTTTGGGTATGACATGCGGGAAAGCAATTATGTTTGGAATAGTTAATGGTAAAAGGAAAACAGGCCGCCAAAGAACACGATGGCTGGACACCATCAAAACTAACACCAACTTTCTTTGAGAAACTCAAAGAAACCGTGCAAGATTGGAAAATGTGGAGACGTGACCTGTAGAATTGCCAAGAGTCAGACATGACTGAATGGATAACATCCTTCTCATCATCATCACCATTATCATCATCATCATCACAAATTTATCTCTGTAGCCAATATTAGGGAAAATTATTATACACTAACCAGTCACATCTCATGAAACGGGAGGATATATATAAAGTGGATAAATACATACAATAAAAATTAGCTAAGCAGCCCAGACCGGGCTCCTATTCCACCTTGAACAAACATCTGCCACTCCTTTAGCTTTGCTGAAATATTTGGTCCTCTGCTGACTGTTACTAAGGGGAATTCCATCAATTAGGCTGGAAAAAGTTTGCTGGTTTCCTTTTCTTCCTTATCTCTTTTCAGTTCAGAGATAAATTTCTTAACTACAGGTAAAACTCAAAAAATTAGAATATCGTGCAAAAGTTCATTTATTTCAGTAATGCAACTTAAAAGGTGAACCTAATATATGAGATAGACTCATTACATGCAAAGCAAGATAGTTCAAGCCGTGATTTGTCATAACTGAGATGATTATGGCTTACAGCTCATGAAAACCCCAAATCCACAATCTCGGAAAATTAAAATATTGGGAAAAGAGTCAATATTCTAGGCTCAAAGTGTCCCACTCTAATCAGCTAATTAAGCCATAACACCTGCAAAGGGTTCCTGAGCCTTTAAATGGTCTCTCAGTCTGGTTCAGTAGGAATCACAATCATGGGAAAGACTGCTGACCTGACAGTTGTGCAGAAAACCATCACTGACACCCTCCATAAAGAGGGAAAGCCTCAAAAGGTAATTTCAAAAGAAGTTGGATGTTCCTAAAGTGCTGTATCAAAGCACATTAATAGAAAGGTATGTAGAAGGGAAAAGTGTGGAAGGAAAAGGTGCACAAGCAGCAGGGATGAACACAACCTGGAGAGGATTGTCAGGAAAAGGCCATTCAAAAGTGTTGGGGACTTTCACAAGGATGGACTGAGGCTGGAGTCAGTGCATCAAGAGCCACCACACACAGACGGATCCTGATCACGAGCTTCAAACGTCGTATTCCTCTTGTCAAGCCGCTCCTGAACAACAAACAACGTCAGAAGCTTCTTACCTGGGCTAAAGAAAAACAGAACTGGTCTGTTGCTCGGTGGTCCAAAGTCCGCTTTTCTGATGAGAGCAACTTTTGCATCTCATTTGGAAACCAAGGACCCAGAGTCTGGAGGAAGAATGGAGAGGCACATACTGCAAGATGCTTGGAGTCCAGTGTGAAGTTTCCACAGTCTGTGTTGATTTGGGGAGCCATGTCATCTGCTGGTGTTGGTCCGCTGTGCTTCATTAAGTCCAGGGTCAACGCAGCCATCTACCAGGAGATTTTGGAGCATTTCATGCTTCCTTCTGCAGACGAGCTTTATGGGGATGCTGACTTCATTTTCCAGCAGGACTTGGCACCTGCCCGCACTGCCAAAAGCACCAAAATCTGGTTCAATGACCGTGGCATTACTGTGCTTGACTGGCCAGCAAACTCACCTGACCTGAACCCCATAATCTATGGGGCATTGCCAAGAGAAAGATGAGAGACATGAGACCAAACAATGCAGAAGAGCTGAAGGCCACTATTGAAGCATCCTGGTCTTCCATAACACCTCAGCAGTTCCACAGGCCGATAGCTTCCATGCCACACCGCATTGAGGCAGTAATTGCTGCAAAAGGGGCCCAAACCAAGTACTGAGTACATATGCATGCTTATACTTTTCAGAGGTTTGATATTGTTCTAGGTACAATCCTTGTTTTATTGATTGCATGTAATATTCTAATTTTCTGACATTGTGGATTTGGGGTTTTCATGAGCTATAAGCCATAATCATCTCAATTATGACAAATCACGGCTTGAACTATCTTGCTTTGCATGTAATGAGTCTATCTCATATATTAGGTTCACCTTTTAAGTTGCATTACTGAAATAAATGAACTTTTGCACGATATTCTGATTTTTTGAATTTCACCTGTATATATTTAGGTTGCTGAAGTCTTGCCCTCTTCCATCCCTCTTCCTTTTTCCTTTGCATTCTCAGATAGTAAAAAAGTATTTTTTTTTTCATGTAGTGCAGGAGTGACTTTGGAAGCAATTGCTGCTGAAAGTGAAAGTAAAAAAGTAAAAACTATAGGTAGTCCTCGACTTACAACCATTTGTTTATTGACCAGTGTTACAGTAGCATGCAGCTTGTCCTCACACTTAAGACTGATCCCTACAATCACAGGATCAAAATTCAGGCGTTTTGCAATCTGCATTGACAGGACTTGCAGTATTCTGACGAAGTAATTGGGGGAAGCCAGATTCACTTAATGCATGGTTCACTTAACAACTGCAGTGATTTGCTTAACTGGAGCAAAATAGGTCATAAAATTGCTACACGGCTCATTAACTGCTTAGCAACTGAAATTCTCCCAATTGTGGTCATACGTTGAGGATTACCTGTAAGTAATTTTGTGGCATCAAATATTTGCATAAAAGATGAAGTCTCCTCAGGCCTCAAATTTCATGGATTGATGCATGTACAGTAGTTTTCTAGGCAGGAACACATAAGTGATTTGCTAGTTGCTCCTCCCAGGAAGCTGTTTTGACTTTCACCCCAGCCAAAAGCCCTGTGATTTCTTAACAAATGTTACACTTAAGTAATCCAGTCCTGCTTGATTTCTGAGTCCAGACAAGTCAACCAGATGCTTCATACTTAGCCTTTAATTTGAGCTGCTGCCATAAGACAATATTGAACAAGCTGGAACAATTGCATTAGAAGGGCAAAAATAATCATACTCTATGGGATGATCATGTCCATTTTGCTGATACTTTGATAATGCTATCAGGTACTAGCTTTATTGCATTTCTTCCCCTTTCCCTTGCTTATTAAAATATTGAAATATGAAGAAAAAAGCAAATAGTTTTTCAAAAATGAATCAACACAGACTGCCTCATTTGAATTATTAAAAAGCCAGAGTAAAAAAGGATAAATTACTTTTTAGTGATAAATCCTCCCCTTCGCTTCGGTATCTCCAACCACCAGGCAGTTTAGCTATTTAAACTTCACACCAAACATTAATCAGCGTGTTAGTTTCTATTTGAATCCTAAAAAAAACAACACATAGTCCAAATGTCTATATCCGCCTTGCGGTGTGGTAGATAGTATACAAGTGAACTTGATTACCCTTCTGTTCGAGTCTCCCTTAGTTCTTGCTAATGCAGCAAAAGTTTCCTGTTCTTGCTCCAAAAGTGTTCCTAGCCAGGTTCACACAGCTCTTCTCTTATATATTGGAAGAATGTAAGAAGGGTTATGGAAGCCACCTTAAAATCCCTCCCAGTAGAAATGTTTATATAACATCATTCCTATGTTTGGCCATAATGAGAGGGGCTGGTGCTTATATTCATATATTTGCATAACTGCAAACAACTAAAGATTCTATTTTTCATCTTCTATTCTGTGCTCCTCACTTCTACGTAATCGATTTGGTGGGTGCTCTGTTTAAGAGCAATGAGTTGAGAAAAGCATAAAAACCCACAAACAGATTTGGCATTTTATACTTCCTTCTTTCATCTCTCTGTAGCTAAGCCTAAAGCTGTTGTTTTAAGGAAGACTGTGAATTTAGCGCCTCGATAAGCAAAATGAAGTTAGTAAAGATGGTTCTCAGAAATTTACATAGGAAGCTGCTTTATGCGAAAATCTGTGTCATTCTAACCTAAGAGTTCTGCCTGGACTAAGGGATCTTTTTTGATTCCTGATGGACTTTACCAATGCAAAATATTTTCTCCACACACCCTCTACCCAGAGGATTAATCATGAAGTCTTCAGTTATGCTTGATTGCTGACTCGAGATTTTTTAATACTCGTCATCATCAGTTTTGTATTCATTTTCATCATGACGCACACACCACATCAAGTTACTGGCATTTCACTGACCTGAAAAACAATTTTTCTTCCTTGGAGAAAAGCACTAGAAACTTTCATATCTAACTAGATGCTCATGCCTAAGAATAATACAGAATATATTCTGTATCTTTAAGGAACAAAAATATACTTATACTCCATAATAGCATACAATGCTGTTTTGTTTCTAAATAGGCTATGACATGGGTTGACTGTGCCAAGGATCCTTTTTATATATTGCCTGAAGTGAAGTTTGTAATGGGCAATGGAAGTCATGAGCCTATTCCTACATTTCTAAATTAAATCAAGGATTATATTCTGTTCCCAAGAAAATGAGGGTTGGAGCAAATGGCTCAAACTGAAGTTAGAAATTGTAAGAATCAATGAACTGGGGCTCTAAGAAAGCAATACCTTTGGCCTTGTGGAAAAGGACAACAGAGGGAAAAAAAACATGGTCACCAAATACAGATACCCACCTCAGTTAAATCTGTATAAAATTTTATTGAAACAAAATAGTTCTTGGATATGCTTACACTAACTTAAGAACACAATCAGTCTTCATTTTACCTATCAACATGACCCTTGCTGTAAGAAGGATGTTACGAAATGTACTAATTCTTTGAGGTGTGCAGCATTGAAACAAGGGCCTAAGGGCCTCTATGTCTGTGCCAGTTTTGACATACTTGTATTGAAAAACTGTGTGCTTATTTGGAAGAGAAAGCCCTGAGCTTACCAGAAGTGACTCTAGGTATTCAAGAATAGGAGATGACTCTTATGACTCCCCTTGATTAGGATTATGTTCAAGACAGATTACAAGGAGAGACTTACAAGAGACAACTACAAGAAGTTAGAGCTACAGGACTGAAACCTTGATGGGAAGACTGACAGGCAGCCTGCATTAATTGTATCTGGAGTAAGATCCCATATCCTGGCCACTGCTCCTCATGGCACCATGATATTCAAGAGAATGCAAAGCTAGGATGTTTGGGGTGAGAGATAGTGAAGGATGATTCTTGTTGCAGTTGCAATCCAGCAGATACATTTTGATGATGGATAAGAATTTTGCAAGAAAACATTTGTAAAAGGCCAAAAAGCCTAATGATCATTCTAACTTTAAAGTTTAAAAAAAAAGAGAAAAAAATAATGGGGATTTTATAGTCTGGTCTTAAGCATGGTTATTTGGAAGTGAATCACACTGACTAAATCAAGGACATTTTCTACTCATGAGCACAGAAAATTATGCTGATATAGTGCAGGTCTTTACCTGTTTACCTGACATTTAGTCAGCTGAAAATAAGTATAGGTACAAACCTATTATGAAAGGTAAAAATGGGGAATGAAAGGAACCTTTATTAAACAATTAAGAAGCCAACAGGAATATGAAGCTAAGATTCCTACAGTTGACCACAATGTCGAAGATGGATAACACAGATAGAAATAAATTCTAGGTAGGGATGTTAATGACAAAGATAAGATTGCAAAGGGTCATGCCCTTAGTATATGGTTAGGCTTAGGATTAAAAAATAATAAGAGAAAGTATATAACTTTCAATGTATAGGAATGGGAATGACTCTTTAGAGTACAGTATCATAGACTGCATGAACCAATCAGGGTAAATCAAGTGAGGATTGATGGTGCCTTGAGACAATGCATCAGCAAGCAGAAACTTGGGATATGCGAGGCACATTCATGATTGTTGAAGAAAAAAATTATGTTTGGAAAGTTAGACCAAAGTAGGAAGCAGTAGAAACTAAAATCTAAATATTAGGAAAATATCTTTAGAAGACCTATGAGCTATTTTTAAAGATAGTTCAAATGGTGAGCACTTACTTGTCCAAGAGTCACAAACAGCGAACAAGATGCAGACGCAACTAATTGAATTCAAACATAAGCTTCATATACAGTAAAAATTTCCTATATATAATTAGGTGCATTTAGTTTTCCATTTTCTGGCATTTGTTTTGGTCACTAGCAACTTTGTAACTATGATATTGCCATAGACTGATTAATACAAGGAAATAAACAACTGGTTCATGTTTTGAATCAGAGTGTTACAACCAAATAAGAAATAAATAACAGACAAAAATAACAATTCTACATTTTATAGAATACACGCAATTGTCTCAATTTAACATAATGTAATAATTCATAAATTTTAGCTTATATGAACCATTGTTTAAATATAGACTCTTGGCCTCCAACATCAACTGCTTTCCTATTTTTTGCTCAGCCTTGCCTAATGAAAACTTTTGGAGAAAGTATGGAATTAGCTATAAATGGATTTCAGGTCCTACAGCCTAAATCAGGGCTATCAAACTCCTGGTCCGCAAGCCGGATTCTTCATGTGCTGGCCATGCCCACGCCCAGTTTAGCAAAGGGGAAAAAAGTTCCGGTAAGGCACAGGACGCTGCCATGATGACGTGAGTTTGACACCCCTGGCCTAAATGAATATTGTATGCTGAATGGCAGATAAGCACAGTGGCGGATAGGCTGACTGATTATGCAGTAATGACAGGTCATACGCATTGATTTGGGTGCTCATTTTATTACTTTCCACACATATATGCTTATAACGAAGTGTATCTGTGATATAAGTAGATTGCACGTAAGTCTGAAAACTAAACCTCTCTAAACTTTTGCTTACTATTTCAAGATCTTTAAATAAAAATATTGCTCCAGTATGAAAACACTATTTTATTATGGCCAGTTCAATGATTGCCTTTTATACTACTTGAAAATAATTTCCATCAAACTCAGCACATAATATCCTGTTTATACAAAAGTTCACAAAGAACCAGCTTTGTTCTGTTCCTCTTTGTCTTGGCAAGAGACTTTGGATTGCAACTTTATCTTATCTACAATTATACCACAATATCCTATATTCTATGTTCATGCAGCCTTATCTATTAAAATTGCTCTGGACGTATCTCAACATCAAGTTGGAGATTCCAATATTATAGTAGTCCTCAACTCATAACAGTTCATTTAGTGACCATTTGAAGTTACAACGGCACTGAAAAATGTTATGACCATTTTTCATCCTTATGACCATTGCAGCATCCCTGTAGGCACGGGATTTATATTCGTAACTCACATTTACGACGATTGCAGTGTTCTGGACTCACTTGATCCCCTTTTGCGACCTTTTGACAAGCAGTCACGGGGAAAGCTGATTCATTTAACAACGGTCTTACTAATATAATAACTGAGTGATTCACTTAACAAACATGATGAGAAAAGTCGTAAAATGGGGCAAAACTAACTTAACTCATTCCTCACTTAGCAACATAAATTTGGGGCTCAAAACTGTGGTCGTAAGTTGAGGATTACCTGTATTCTTTAAGGCTGAAGTAAGGGGGGGGACGACTTCAAAGTATTCTTCATCCAAGATGCCCGCTCAATTTTATAAGCAATCCCGCCTCCCTGCTAGACCCCCTCGGGCTTAACGCCACCACTACCCAGGACGGAGCCGACCAGGCCTCCGTCTCCTGCTTCTTCAGACCCGAAGACGTTGTTCCGCTTCGGCCCAGCAGAGAAGCGGCCACGTGCCCCCCTCGGCCGGTGGGTGTCTCCGCCGCGTCCCCGCCTCCTGGCTCGGCCTTGCCCGCCTTTCTCCGCCTCCCGAGCCCCTCGTTTCCTGCTGCTGGCGGAGGCCGAGGGAGAAGGTGGCGGTGGAGGCGGTGACGGAAAGAAAAGTGCCCCGGAGCCGGAGAAGCGATCGCCTCCACCCCCGCTCGTCCCCGAAGGAAGCCGCCGCCGCCACCCCTTCTTCTTCCTTGCGCCCCGCTGCCTCCCTGTTCTCCGGCCCCCATTTTTGTGTCCCTTCGCACCCACCCACCCAAGTTTCCCTCTCCGCGGCTCCTGGACTTCCCTGCCTCCCAGCCACTCGCCCACCCAGGACAATAAGAGCGGGAGATGTCCTCCTCCGGCGGCCACCAGCAAAGCCAGAGCCGCGCCATCCCCACCAGGACGGTGCCCATCAGCGACTCCTCGCAGCTACCTCATGACTATTGCACCACGCCCGGGGGGACCCTCTTCTCCACCACGCCCGGAGGTAAGCGGGGTGGGTGGGGAGGAAAAAAAGAGGCCAGGGAAGGCGAGGCGCGAAGGGCCTTGCCCTGCTCGGGAGGGGGGAAGAGACCCCCGCGCCGCCGGGCAGGCTCAGCAAAGCGGGAAGGAAGAAGGGGGCGTGCGCCGGCCTGGCTGGAGCTCTTGGTTTCCAGGCGCCTTTAAAAGGGGGTGTGCACGCCTGGGAGGCCTTGGCGGTGGAAGGGGAACCCCTAAATCCTCTTCCTCCCCCCCGTCATAAGCATCCTCGTCGGTGGGGGGAGAGTCCGAGGCTGCCCTGCGGAAACGTGACGCGCCCTCGTGAGCGCTTTGCCTTCCAGCCGGAGCATTGCGGGGGGGGAAAAAGACTCTTTGCGGCGGTAAGCCGCTGCAAGGTGTGGTGGTGGTGGTGGAAAAGCCGCTAGTTCTACAGGCGGGCTGAGGCCAGGGAGGCCTCGGCCGCCAAGTCTCGGGTGGCGGGGGGAAGAAAGCGGGCTAGATCCGGACCGCCGCCTAGGCCTCGCCTCTGGTGTGGGGCTGGCGGCGAGGTATTTGTAAACAAGGCCCCGGAGAGCCTCAAGACGCCGCGGTTGTTGCACAATAGGAAGGGAGGAGCGGGAGGGAGGGACCGTGCCCGCGGGGGAGGGAAGGCGACGGATGGCGGCTCCCTCGAGACAGAAGGCCGCTTTCCCTTGGGGGGGGGATGGCTGGCGTGCACGTGTTTACCAGCCGCCCTCTCACCTAGACCTACATATATATATATATATGGAGCGGGTAGACGACTCTCGGCCTACCTTTATTTCGGTCCCTCCCTCCCGCCCCTCCCTTCCTATTGTGC